TAATATTTTAAATTACCATTTAATTTTAAATTGTCATATAAATATATATATAAAAAATAAAACGATATCAATTCAAACCTTGTTTCCCATCAGGATGACCCCATTCCTCATAGTTCTTTCGAATGTCATCATCTGTCAATCTAATAGAATGACAGCATGGTTAAATTTTTTAGAAAAATAATTATCAAGCGTAAAAATGAATATAAAGCTGCAACCAACACTTTATACGCTTTCGTAATGTCAATAAATTTTATCTCATGTTCCGCTTTTTGATCTTCGGGAGCTTTATCAGGATGCCTTGGAAATGAAAAAATTCCGTATAAACACAGGGATAATAAATGTAATGCAATTAGCAAAATTATATATTTACCATTGTAAACTAAGTTTTTTGTAAACCTTTTTTATCTGATCTGATGATGCCCCCTTTAAATAAGTAAAAACAAGAAATATGTCAATAAAAATTCCGTCAACTTTTAATAACTTTTAATCATCTTCACCTCTGAAATCCCCAAAATCTCATACGGATCCCACACTTCGATATCAACCTCTACGGTCGATACTTTGTATGTCAAATATCCAAATAAAATCCATCCTATTATCACTGCCACTGCACTAAAACCAAACAAGTATTATTGAATATTGATGGAATAAAAAAATCAGATTTTCTACAAACGTTTTGTTGACTCGTTGAGTTAATGATGGCGCTTTTAAGTTTGATAATCGGACATATTTGTCTTTGCAAGCATCACAGGAACATTTTTGTTTGCTATCTTCATCTGTATTACAACAAAATTATGTAATTAGAGAAAATATGAGATATTGATATTTTGTGCGATTGTAATAGATTTGATCAAAACATGGATTTTTGTGAATGAGATGTTATATATCATTTTTAGACATTCAAAAAATACCAAATCATAGATCAAATTTTAAAAATATTCCCACGCAAAAAAACTAACCCTTCTTCTTCCCCTTGAATAATAAAGAAAATGTCGTCGGTATCAGGACTATCACCAAAAAAGTTAATAAAAAGTAATTAAATGTGACTCCCTGTTCATCGTAAATGTACTGCATTTTTAGATTTGTAAGATTTCAAAACGCGTTTTGCTACTCGAGCGAATGAAAATTTTCAAGGGAGGCTAAGAAGCAAATTTTGATGTTTGAATTCCATTACATTTATTCGATATTGAGTCATGTGATGTGCTCAAGATTTCTTGTTCGCTCACGATTGGTGTGTTAGTTCGCGTTTTCATGTGGAGGTACCACGTGGTTTATAGTCCCCAATTTTACTAATTTTATCCTGAAGATCAATTTAGTATTAGATTTAAAAAAAGAACTATATGTTAAAATCGTCTTCTCGACCATTTTAATTAATGTTTCCAAGCTAAATTTAAGTATAACGATAAGCTTTCCGTCTTTTTTTATATTTTCACCTCTTTGTTTCGGATTTATTTCCCATGTAAATGGACCTGCACTAAATTCTGATAAAAATTATACATAATTTTGGCCAGCATTAAGAAATAAGCCACAAAACATGCTAAATTTCGGATAAATTATGAACAACATTATCCGGATACATAATTTTGACCAACATTTCGCCAGCATTAAAAAATCAAACCATAATTCATGTAAGATTTCTGTTTTTAGTGAAAACTTTTACTAATTTCTAGTTTTGAAATTAATATTTATAAAAAAGAAATATGGTCCAGTACAAAAAGATTGATATATCAAATAAATATTAATAGATTATTTTTCAAAATAAAATTTTAATTCTATCTTATTTAATTAAGTTATTAGATATTGGAATTTATTTAAATATAAAAATTTTTATTATATATCTTTTATA